TTCAACTCCCTGCAGGGGGGCTCCAAAGAGGATGGCGCTGGACTGTTTTCAGTGGGGGCAGATGACAGAACAAGGAGCAATGGGCTCAAGCTGCAGCAAGGAAAGTTGAGGTTAGATATCAGGAAAAAACTCTCACGAGGAGGGTGGTGAAGCACTGGAACAGGTCCCCAGAGAGGTGGGAGTGTCCATCCTGGGAGGTATTTAAGACCTGGCTAAACAAAGCCTTGGCCGGGATGACGTGGTTGGGGCTGGTCCTGCTTTGAGCAGGGGGTTGGACTAGATGTGACTGTCTGAGGTCCCCTCCAGCCTGAATTTCTACGACTCCATAACAGGTGAGATAAAACCTGCTCCATCCCTTCCTTCTTCATCTCTTTCCCAGTGGAGCAATGACAGTTTTCCTTGAAACCCAAGACAGAGGTGTGAGTGTGCAAGTATGAGAGAAAGGAGGGAGACATTCAGGAGCTGACGATATTTTATTACAGGTTTTTAAAAGCCCATTAGAGAAAAGTCAAAAATGGCCTTTTCAAACCAAAGGACACGGGCCCGGCTTCATTTGACCCTTCTATAAATAATGGCCAAGGGAGGGGGGAATAATTTTAAACAAACATTCAAGGGCTTGAATTATGTACGTTCCTCAGATCAACAGGAAGAGAGGGAGAGAGAGTCAGGCTGGAATGAATTCAAGGACAAGCTGGAAAGGCCACTCAAAAAGTTATCGCCTGCAGAGAGAGAGATCTGATCCCTGAACACAATCATCATCTGTAAGAAAGTGGGAGAGAAATAAACGAGAAAAGGGCTTGCTACGCAGGGAAGCTACAACTTCTTGACGCTTGTTGGAAGTTGCCTTGATGTTTCTTGGCCATGCAGAAGGATCCTGGTATCAGTGAGCATCACACCCAGAGAGTCTCAGTGCTGGGAAGTTTGCACCTAGTCCCTCAAGGGACCTGTCCCGTAAAATTAGTTGTCCCTCTCCTTCCCGCTGCCAGCGCTCGGATCTAGTCCAAGAAACGAGGAAGAGCCCGTCCCACCAAAACCAAGTACTCACAACCAGAAAGGTAGATGGATTTTATATTGTTTCTTTATTTCACTATTAAATTGGCTATTAACTGAGCAGAACGAGTAAGGCATGTTGAGCATTTGATGAAAACAGTGGTTCTCAGTCTTTTTTAGACTCAAGGCACCCCTCAGAAAATGCCAGCTGGTAGTTTTCCCCTGATTTTTTGACTATGGAAAAATACAACATGTCTTCTGTTGCAAAAAAACTCAGAAAGGCCACAACAGGTCTAAATGCTTTGAACCCTACAGACTCCTCTTTGAAATCTCCGAGTGTATTTTGTGAATCACATTTGCACGCCTGACCGACCGTGCTAACCTTGTGCGGCATCCTTGAGAGGATCTCATGGCACCCTTGAGAGGGTCACTGGGTTAAACATTTATAAAGTGCACATTTATCTAAATGCATAACATTTCTGATAGCCAATCAGATTAAGATTCATTGGCTTTAAAAAAAAAAGGCTCTAACAGGTGGCCCAGCCTGGTAGGGTAAAGGCCTTGTCTCTTAGGTTTCAAATGACGCTTTAAAATAGCTTGTGTCTTAGTTCATCTACAGATGGGCTGTTCGGCAAGACCTGTAGTTGGAAGTTTGCGAGAGAAGATTCCACAATGAAGCCTGATTTTATACTCTGTGGCTTGGCTAAAGTATCAGAAAGCTTCCTAAATAAGGTAAAATATATATCACACGCACTATTTCTATCTATACATGCACACGCACTATATCTGCCTGTCTATCCATCCATCCTCACACTATATCTATCCATCCATCCATGCACACACGCATTATTACTATCTATACATCAAAACAAACACACACTACATCTGTCTGTATATCTACCCATCCTCACACAATAGCTATCTATCTATCTATCCATCCATGCACACTTTCTATATCTGTCGGTCCATCCATCCATCCTCACACTATATCTATCTATTAATCCATCCATTCATCCATGCACACACACATACCATGTCTGTCTGCCTATCCATCCATCCTCATGCTATATCTATCTATCTACGCACAGTATCTATCTACACATCTACACGCACACTATATCTATCCACCCACACTACATCTTATCCATCTACGAACACGCTATATCTAGCTATGCACACACACTATATCTAGCTATAGTAATTTATATGATATATTATAATAACTTTCCTAATAGGTGCTACTCTAATCAAAATTCATCTGCTTCTTCTTATGCCTTATGTAAGCTATATCTTATCTAATATTAGCCTTGTCTGGCATCAGACCACTAAATGCACTCAAGGCAACCTTCTAGCCTTGACCCTAGTTCTTTTCCATCCATCTTCCTCATGCTATCTAAAAATGGCTCACCTCTTGCGACATCCTCTGGCCTAATCACTTCCTTTGCCTCTTCTTCTCTTACTCCAACTTTCGTTCAGCAAATGCTATCCCATATCACTGCTAAGCAGCTTAAGGCCTACCGTGGCCTACCCAGGAGTTATCATAGACAAGTGGGGAAGGGACCTCAAGAGGTCCTCTTGTTAGCTGTGTTGATTTGAGCTCGGGTAGAGAGACCTCCAGCAAGGGCCAAAAGTGGCTAATGAGTCTTTATAACAAAAAGATGAACCTCCATCTTTAGACACAAGAAGTTCCTTTAGCTCATGTGTCAGGCAAAGCGATCACATTTCCATCAAAGTCAGTTCCATCAAAGTCGGTGGAACGGAGAGTTTTGCCTTGCAAACAAAACAGAGAGCCAAGTGTGGGGGCGGGGGAATTAAGAGATAAAAAAGCCACTTTTAAATATTCAAGTGCCTATTAGTAAAGTAGAAGGGGCTTTTTATTATTATTATTCCTTTAGCGCACATCAAAATGCATTCGGGGTTTGGTTTTTTTCTTCTTAATAGTTGATAATATGTCCAGAGAAAGTATAAAATTGCCATCTTCTGCTATCCACCTGGGGCTGGTTGAATTGTCAGCTCCCCAGTGTCTCCTCAATTTGCATCTAAAAGCAACCAACCTCTCCCCGTGGCTTGTCAGCTCACGCAAAAAACTTTGCTTCCCTTCGTCCTAATGGTCCCTGTCAGGCTTTTATGGAGCTGGCTCTCGGCGCCAAGCAATAATAGAGTAACCCGCGCTCATAATTAGCACGTCTTCAGGACATCAGAAAGGAAGAGAAGGATAGAGAGAGAGAGAAAGAGAGAGAAGGGAAAAAATACCCATCAAATAAACACGTGCAATTTCAGGGAGCTTAAAAAGCCTCCATTTGATGCCTTGCAATTGCTCAGGTGATAAAACGCCTGCAGGAAGGCGGCATTATCCATCCCCAGCACTAGGCTGGGGAACTGGGAAGGGGAAGAAGGGCAGCTCTGCTTCAGGATCTGGAGTCGGCTGGTCCTGGATATGAAACGGGGAACACACCAGGGTTCAAGCTGGATGCGGAGGATGTACAGATCCCCCCTGGGTCCTGTACCGAGCACCAATGAGGTGCTTTGACTGTATGTTCTCAGCATTGCCCAAGTCCGTGTCTTTGCATGTTGTATTTATATCACAGAAGGGGGCTGGATGGGCTCTCCAGAGGTCACAGCTAGTGCAGCCCTCTGCCCGAGGCAGGACCAGCCCTGTCCAAACCATCCTCTACAATTCATCATCTAAAACTCTTCGTAAAGCTGCCGTCAACCCTGACACATCACACCCGAGCCTGCCACAGGCAACCAGCCGAGTCTGGACTATCCCCATAGTAGAACACAGGCTTTGCTACACCTATATTGTCCCAGCTGGTGGCTGTTCAACCTCTTGAACCCCTCCAGTGATGGAGAGTCCACAACATCCCTGGGTATCTATTCCTTGCCTCCCTGCTCTAACAGGGAAGACGTCTTTCCTGAGATCCAACCGCTTCACCACCACTTCAAGCCACTGATCTGCATCCTGCAAATAATACCAGTGCTATCACCCCCACTATACTGATGGAGAAACCGAGGCATGGAAACCATTAACAGCATAAATCTGGGAATGGACCTCAGGTGTCCCGACTCCTGGTCACTCAACAGTGTAGGCTTCCAGGTCCAATAATAACCGATGCAGCAAGAGACAAAAGATCCCATGATTTGCTTTAAAAAAAAAAAACAAAAAAAAAACCTCAGGATTTTTGCAAGCCCAATGCACCATTTTGGAAAATTTGGGACTGGCTGCACTGTTAACCCAGCACCTTTCCTTCAGGATCAGCTGTTCATAAGAATCAGGACCCTCAGTGTTGCTGGGAAGATGCTCACAATGAAAAAAAACCCTCCAAACTTATTGAAGCCAGGAGTGAGGCAGAAAGACTGTCATCCCCTCCAAAATCAGCCCAGCTCTTGAGATGTCCAACAGACAATTCAGAAATGGATCGATTCCCCCCTCCAAGTACACTAATCATCTCACGTCCTTTTGTCCCCAGTCTTTTCTGTTTGTTGCAGGGAATAATAATAATTATAATTAATAATAATTAATAACAATGCCATACGACTCCATGAAAGTCCTTGAATCCTCCCAAGCTACTGAAGGTTTCACTCCAGTCATTAGCACTGAAACTCAGCAGGTTTTAAATCAACCCTGTACCCAATAAATACAGACTTCATAATGTTTCCAACAGCAATTTGAGGCTGCTTTACAGCCATTAGCACGTCTGGGTTTCTAAATGAATTGTAGTGCGGAACGGACATTTACTTCCCATAATGTTGCCACAGGTTTTAACGTAGTCATTTCACCACTCATTTATTCCTGGAAGACAGCAGACGGGCAGGACTGATACATATAAAGTTTCCCAACTCTAAAGGCAGGAAGATCGGCGATGCCGGAAGCACGTGGGATATCTTTCCCTTCCCAAAAAATTTGCAAAGACCAAGATCAAATCAGACCCTAAGCAGCATCTTTGGTCACGGGCTACTTAATATTCAAACTCCTGCTTCCAACAGCTGGAGCTGAGCATCTGGGGGGGGGTGGGGGGGAGGACACGGGACACACTCAATTTTAATTTTGAAAATGGCCAGAGAAGGAGAAAAATCTATTGTTATCCTCACTGGTCAGCTGCCCTGAGTGTTAACGATTTACTACTTGCCATCCAGGTGATCCTCTAGCCTCATCTCTCATTAGCAGGTGTCACAGCTTCATCTCTGCACCCAAAAACCTTCTGCATCCATAGAACAGCAGACAGACAAGGCTGGAGGCCATAATTGCTGTGGCAGCCTCTGATCTAACGGCCCGTGCCCCAGCCTTTTCCTGGGTGAGCTAGTCTGGAGTCCTTTGCCGAGACATATTTTATACTCCAACCCCATAGCACTTCGCTGAACCTCTCTACTTTCCAGGACAGGATGTGTCACAGTGCTCTGGGAACCACACCCTGGTAGATTAATCAATGAAATGGATAAGAGGGGCTGAGACTGGGAGGGGAAACTGAGGTACAGAAGGGATGTGGCTCAAGTCATGGTCAAGCACACAGAACCAGATCCTGGTAGATTAATCAATCACATGGATAAGAGGGGCCAAGAGTGAAAGGGGAAACTGAGGCATGGAAGGGATGAGGCCAGAGTCACAGTCTCAGATACATGGGCCCTGAATGGGACACCATACCTGGTTGGAGGGGGAACAGCTGGGGTCACATCTGGATTCGGGGCCCCTCGTGTTTGGCAGCAGCCCTTGGGCAACGATCCCATGTGTGGAGCCCCAAGAGACCCTACAATAACAAGTCATTGCATGCAACTAGGCATTTCCCAGAGACCCTGCAACAAGCAATGCCTCGGGCAGTAACAAGCCAACAAGCATCTCCAACAGGCAGCAGTGGAAGCAGAACATGCCCCATGGGCCATCTTCCCTCGTCCCCAGGCTTTCTGCCCCATTCCTACCAGGTAAGATGCTGAAGCCTCCTGCTCCTTCTGTGGCTCTCGGCATCTCATGTGGTCCCTTCAGCTTGGCTTCCTGCTGCATGCACATGGATGAGTGTCTACATTGCTCGGTGCAACCCAGAACAACACCAAAGCAGGGCTCTCTTGGGACCACAGCACAAGATTAACCCTCCCATAGCAAAGCCATGGGCTCACAACAACCAGAAAGCACCCAACACTTTTGCCCCTACAGCTGGGCTCCTGGAAGGGCTACAGGGGAGGGAGGTGATCTCACTGCCTGGCTGAATTTGCATAACGAGCTCAGGTGCAGCAGTCCCTGGAAAGGAGCCACAGAGCTGAGTTGACCCCTGCACTGGTACAGAGGGCTCTGGTGCCATCAGCAGGAAAGCTCCTAGGCTGGGATCCCCAGAATGAACCCCCCCACCCATATCAAAGGGATTTAGGCACCTGACACCCTGGGGGGTGTCTGGCCCCTTCTGGATCAAACTCAAAGCAAAGGCTGGTCCATCCATGATGGGGCCTCTGTATCCTTCTCCAGCAGAGTGGATCTTTATTCACACCCCTCCCCAAACCAAGAGATCAGGGTTAAATGTAATGAGATTGTTTTCTTGAGCAAAAACTCTGGGGCGTTCTGATTTGTCTGCTGGGGCTGCAGCCGTTCGGGGCCACGCTGTCAGGCTTTTCTCTGCAACGCAGAGGGTGAAAAATTGACTCTTAAAAAATAAAAACACTGCAGGGAGCAGACAAGGTTCTTTGGGTAAATGTGATATCTTTTATTAAACAAACTAAATAGTAGGAAAAAACTGTTCTTTGCAAACTTTCGGGTACAAACACCCTTTTTCTGCAGGGGATTTCTGCTCTTCCCCATGAAATGCGGGGTTCTGAGTCCAGGAAGTGTTAATTTCCCTGGGAACATCATGTTTTTTTCCCCTCAGCCAAAACCCAACAGGTTTAGGTGGAAATACTGCTGAGGGCATGGCAGCTTTCAGTGTCTTCCTGCAGCCGCCCACCCCCAACACTCCATCTCCCATCATGCACCATGGTAGAGGACTCCCATGATGCTCTAGCTGCTGCCATTGTGCATTGTGGGGGATGTAGTTAGCTTAGGCCAAGCTTGGGGTGGGGACGTGGGGTCCCTGTCTTGGCTGGGGCTGGCATTCATGTGTATGTGTGATGGAGTCAGCCTATGGAGAGCCTGACTTGGTCCCCGTCCTGGATGGGGGTGTGCATGGGTGTGTGTGTGTGTGCGTATGTGCACGCGTGTTTGCATGCACCTTCTGCTGATGCAAGCATCAAGGCGTTATCATGGGACACAAGTTATCAGCTCAATGCTGGGAGCATGGGGTGGGACGGTTGGGTCTGCACCAGGCAGGCCATCTGGCTTCTCCCTTGGTCCCTCCTGCCATTCAGCTCGGTGGATCCAGGCACAGATTTGGTCCCGACACGGAGATTCAAGCCAGGGCTTCAGACTCCTAAATAGCCAGGAGCCAACCTGCAGCTTCTCCACCTAGGCTGGAGCTCCAGGGGCAGGGACAGGGCCCTCTCTTGCTGTGGGGGGCCTTGGTGACCCTGGGATGAACGTGTGTTGGGAGATCCACCTGGCAACTTGGCTTCTCCTTGGGGGGTTTTCGGCACGGCGCACCTCAGCTCTGGCCTCACACACACACACACACACACACACATGCACAACTTGTACCATGCACAGACATTGATACACCCAACACATCAGATCCTTAGCACCACAACCCCTGCCTCCCCACTTGCATGCCGTATCCCGCTACCCACCTGCTGTATCCTGTCACCCGCACTCCCACCCACCAACAACACCCCCACACATGAACACCATCACCC